CTTTCAGAAAAGGTGCTATACTTGATGATCGGAGTATGCATTCTGGCAGAAAAAGTGTTCACATAAAAAAAAATAAATAAACATCTTTGTAAAACCAATACATTTCTTGCTCCACACAGAATCTAAAATTTAAAAACTTTGGTTTTTTCAAAAAAAAAAAAAAATTTTGTTTTAGTTTAAAAAACAAAAATCTAGAATTCAGTATTCGGTTTCAAGACGTTTTTACACAAAGATTAGTAGACAGCAAAAATATATTCATCAAATAAACTTTTATGTTAACTTATATAATTTTCATCATAAAATATTATCATTCAAATTATAGAACAACAATAATATTTATTATAATAATAGATTACATTGGACGCCTTTTTTAAAACTCACGTATACACAATTCAGTCGCATAAAAGACTCAACATCACTAGAAAACGTCCAGGACATGTTATCCAAATACATTCTGTTTTTTCTTCACTTCACGTATACGATTTATTCGGCTATAAGTCCATGGCTCATAACTTTAAACATTTGCGTATTTTTTTTTTTTTTTTTTTGAGTGCTCTTAGAGGGATTATGTTGGCTATAAATTTGTTTTAGGAATTTACGAACCTATATACGAAAGTTTATGAAGCATATTTACGTATTTTAAAGTTTAAGTGCTATTTTACTTTTTTTGCATAATATAGAATAACAATTGCCCACGAGATTAACGTTTATATATTTTTTGAGCTTTGAACGCTACGGGAAATGTTTTAGTTTTACTATGATATTTATTTTTTTTTATTTGTGAACAATATTTTTACCAGAAACCTTTGCTTTCATAATAAAATTACAAGAGATATTTTTTATTAAGTTTTGTTTAATTCATTGAGAAGGTGGTCCAAAATCCATTTGGAGACGTTTTTTTCAAACATAGTCATAAATTCTGGCGATTTTTTATATATGTGGATAAAATTAATTGGCCAAACAGAAATGATTATAAATATATTAGGTACGAGGTTTAAAATATTTTGAATTTAACAGTGAAAAAATAATATGTAGGTAGGCACAATGTTTTTGTTGAAGATGAAATTTTGATGAAAATCGTCAAAATTACGACTTTTTAAAATATGTGGAACTGAATTTCTCTCGGAATCGTTTTTCGTTGACAAACTTTTATGATTACGTATATCGATATAAATTAAATATTTGTATGTATTCTATGTTCATAACTTTCCACTTACAACTGTGGCACGCTTATCAGTAACATAAGCCTTTTTTAAATGTTAAGAACACATTTTAAAACACTCAAAAAAAAAAAAAAAAAATGAAAGAAAAATAAATTAAATAAAAAAAGAGGCGATACTGCTGAAAATTCACATTTTTACAAACAAATTATTTTTTTTACAAAATTCTAGATGTATATATTTGAAAGAAAATTTTGGTGTTACAAATATTTACTTTACTATAATGAGTAATGGAATGTCGTTAAATTTTTAAATATTAAAATAATCACTAACGAAATGATGCAAGTACCTTTATGTCAACCCACCTAACCCTTAAACTACTGACCTACTTAATATCTGGTATAATGTTATATCGTTTTACGGGTATTTTATATCGGCTGCTTGTAAAATATATGTACAAAAGTGTTATTTATTTTAGGGTAGTGACACCGGGTTTAAATTTTTAATTAAAAAAGTAAACATTTAATAGCTTTTTAATAACCAGAAAAGCTCAATAAAAATGTTTGGTCGAAAAAAAATATTTCGTCCATTCAAAATTTGTTTTCTGATATCTCGTACCGAAGGATATTATCACCATAATAGAGTAAAATTCAAGTCCCTACATAACAATCGCCATTACTCAAATACCTACCTATCGATAATCGTAAATAACCCACTCCTTTCACCCCAGTTGTACGCTAAGACATGTTTTGTATATATCGTATTTATAATGAAAATATAAGTATACATAATACTTCACAACCGTATCGCGTTATATAGTCCATTTCACAAAATGTACGTTTGTATCAATTTAACGAAATGGGGTCCACGATTAGACGCGACCATTTAAATGCGCCCTTATATGAACGCCGATTTAAATTGAAAACTCGACGAACGACAAGACAAACGATTTCCACAAATTAAAATCAAGCGTTTAAACTATTTCTCAAACCTCACTAATGAACGTCTTCTACATTAAATTTAACATTTTTCGTTTATTAATTTATTTTTGACGTAATATGTATTTGTTTTTAGGGCGTTCTCACGACCTTCGGAGTATTGCGCACGAGGGTATATGCAACGTCCACACCCTCGTAACACAATATAAATTACATTTTAGCGAAATGGATATCTACCTAAATTATTTCGTTGTGTATGTACACAACGGAACTTATTCGATCATTTCATGTTCGTTATATAACGAAACAGTAAACTCTACATTTTTTTTTTTTTTTTTTAATAAATTCCTTTTTTGCAATTTAATTAATTCGATTCCATTGCTATTATTTTAACAAATTTATTCGAGTTTTATTATTATAACTGAGAAAATAGTTTTTTATTTATTTCAAATATTCGATGAAAAAAATAAATTCTATTATCTGGAAAAATCTTAAAATCTAAAATTCAAACAGCTTCGCTGAAACGAATAATATACTATGCAATGGCACATAGAGAGTGGGGATAAGGTTGACTCCATTTGAAATATCTTCCTTCACTACATTTTTTTAAATCAAGTTTTACATTCAACAACATAGGCAATATTATCTTATACCACATGCCAAAAAAAATGTTAATTTTATCAAAAACGTGTTCATCAATTTAATCGTTTATTCAGTTATAATATTGATAGTACTTTTTTTATAATATGTCCTACCGCCTCTCTAGAAAATTATTATAAACAAAATCCTTTCCGAAAAAAAATTCTGCGTGCGCTACTGATATTATGTCGAGATTTATTACAAGGCAAATTAAATGAGTAAGTTATTTAGTTAATTTAATACAATTAAACAAAAATAGTAGATATATTTCAGTCATATTTATTTTTTGTTCTAAACGTGAATTTCTATCTTCTAGAAAAATGTGATGTTTTGTATACAGCTGGAAAACAGTTTTTATCAATGACGAATAATTAACATTAAAAATGTTAATTACCTATAATAAATGTTTTTTTTTTTTTTTTTTATGAGTCGGTGGTGATGAATCAAATTCAAAAATATAATTGTATAAATAAATAGTATAATATACAATGGGCGCTCAGTGAAGTCCAGAGGGAGGCGTCTTCTCCTCTTTGGACTTCAAAATTTAAATTTGAATAATTAATTAATATTATTTTATTTTAAGGACTTATTGGTGTTTTATTTGATTATGCCCCTCCCTGATAAATTTCCTGTGGGCGCCCATGTCAGGGACCGAGAAACAAAGAGCTAATGTAGAAATACTATTTCGGGATTAGCTCCTCTTGTTGAGCTAATTAATTTACCTAATAGTGTGTTTCTAGTGTATATTTTCTATTTTAAGGCAACGCAGTGATTTTTAAATGTAAATAATCTATCAAGGGTGACACCTAGATATTTGGGGTATAAAGTGTGTTCTATCTTAACTTCTCCGTATGTTATATTCAGTTTTCAAGACCCTTTTCTATTTTTCAGATGGAAAGCGCATATCTGAGTTTTCGTCGAATTAAGTTTTAGTTTCATTCGTTTATAATATGTTATTATGGTTTTTAAGCGAAGACTGTAGTTTAGTTTCCACTTCTTCAAAATTATTGTTTTGAATAGCATCACCATATCATTAGTGTAAATGAAGTTTTTAGCATCTGGAAAAATTGTTTGATCGTTTGTATCAATGTTAATACATAGATGTTAAAAAGGATTGTAACTAAAACACTTCTTTGTGGCAGTCCTCTTGAGTAGTAGTATCACGAAAAATATTCTGTGTTGGAAAAGTGCTTTAATTAACTATGTAAACCCTATATTTTTAGTTGGGTTGTAATCGTAGATCTTTTTCTGTTCAAAACCGTGTTTAATAAATTAAGCTATAATCAGTATACTTTTACTTATACATGATTTCCCTTTCATGAAACCATAAGGTTTTCATAGGGTTTTTGTGTATATAACTTTCTATGCGATTTAAGACCACTCGTTCAAAAAACTTATATAAGTGTCAAAGAAGAGATTATTTTTCTTCTTTTTCTTACGGTGTTTATATATTTCGAAAGTTGGTAACCATATTGGCAATTACGATTTTGTTTGTAGCAGCTTGGAAAAATTCTACAGAGGTTTTCCCAAACCGAGTTCTAAGATTTCGCAATTATAAGATTCTTTTCCTATCAGGTCCTCTTTTTCCATTAACTTTTCCTTGTATTACAGTTTGGAGTAAAGTATATTGACGCTAATTTCTCACATGTCCCGGGTACTTAATCGAATTTCCTGCGCTTGATGATGTACATAATTTCTAATTATTTCTTCAATCTTCTAAGTACTTCAATATTCGTTATGCAAGCTTTCCATGATATTTTGAGAATTCTCCTTTATAACCATATTTCGAATGTTTCTGTAATTTAGTGGTGGTTTCACTGAGCGTTTAGGATTTCACACCGTACAGTTATACAGAAAAGACATAACATAACATCTTAGATGTCTTATTTTCATTTCTAGAGTTAAATTGCTGGATTTTAATATAACACTCATTTTATTTAACACTGCCCTTGCCTTTCCAATGTGGCATTTTATTTCTTGTGTGTTTTCCCATTGCTAATTTATTATAGCACCTAGATGAATATATTGATTTACTCTTTCTATCTTAGTTCATTGATGAAAAGTTGCGCTCCACTTTTAACGTTTTTGCTGATTATCATTTGTTTTGTTTTTTGGACATTAATATTAATTCCATATGGCTGTAGTACGTGATTCGTTCCATTAATCTCTATAATCCTTCCAAACTATCCGTTATCACCATGGTATTGTTGGCGTATCGGATGTTATATACTCTAACTCCTTAAAGAAGGATGGATACCTCTTCTTATTCTTCGTTGAGGGCATTGTTAAAAATTCTTTCCGAGTACATATTGAATATTAATAGCGAGAGGATGCAACCTTGTCTGACTCCTTGTGATATGTTCACTAGCTCTGTTTCCTCCTCATCTAGTTTCATGCACACTGTTTGATTCCAAAATAAATTAGAAATTATTCTGAGATCTTTGTCATCTAATTCAGCAGCTTCATCATCTTTTGATGTCAAATAAGATCAAAACCCTTTTCGTAATCAAGATATGCATACACATTATTAATAACGTTTCTACATCTTTGAATTTGAACCTAAACATCAAAAAATGCATCTCTGGTGCCAACTGCGTTTATAAATTTGAATTGGTTATTTGATAACTATTCTCCGCATTTTTTTTATAAATAAATTCTTTTACAGAAAACCTTAAACAATAGCTTTAGCAGGTGACTTATTAAGCTTATAGTCCTATATTATGTTTTTCACACCCTTTGGCTCCAAGATTTTTGAGCAGTACTATAAATTCCGACTGTAGAAGCTTTTCCGGAATAGTTCCTGAATTGTAAACATTGTTAAAAATGTTTATGATCCAGGTTATTCTATCTCTGTCTAATAGTTTTAAAAACCTAGTCTCGGTGTTATCTGATCACACTGCCTTCTTAATTTTTAGTTGTTCGATTGCTGTCTCCAAGACCTTGTGCTTCAATATCTGGACCTGTGATTAATTTTAGAGTTGGGTAACTAATTTCTGGCCTTTGGTCTTGAAAAACTGTTTCCAGATATGATTGCCATTTGTTTTTAATATTTTGTTTGTCAATGATTAATTTTCCATTTGTATCTATTAACTTCATCTGGTGTCGTTTTTTAAAAGATCCTGTTTCCTCCTTCATTTTTTTGTGAAGATCTTCAATATTAATCGATATTATTGATAGGGTTGGCCCTAATAAGGAACTTTTTAAAGCTTACTTTGGATTATTGAACATGAGCCCCGTAGTTGAAAGATTAGCCGTTTGGTGATATCACGAAAACGATGATTAGGGTAAATCCCGTTATTTTCATACACCCCATAGTAAATATGTCAAATTAGTAATAATAGATAATCAAATTAATCATGAAAAACGAAATTCGTCAAACCTTTAAAAAAAAGTAGAGTTTACTGTTTCACCAAAATGTTTTTTAAAAGTATCTACATATCATTATCTATTCAATAAGTTAAATGTTATAATAATTGAATTACATAATAATAGTATTTTCAGAATATTATTTCGTAATTATGATTATCATAATATGATATTATAATTAACGTATTCTAAATAACATATTTAAACAATTGGTTTTCAATAATATATTCACAATATACAATATAAAATTATTATTTGATATTGTATAAATATTTATCTCGAAGTATTATTATTATTATTATTATTTTATGAATAAATAATAATAAAATAATATTATCTTTACGAAAATACTATCTTCCGGTTGAGAAGACCGGAAGATACTCAGGGATGTATGGAAAGATTATACTTCAAAACGAGTAAATATCCAGATACAAGATACTAGATACTTATGTGTAACAAGTATTGCTACACAAGATGCTTAAATTTTATGCGATTGAATGATAAATACCTATACTCGATACATTAAAATTAAAAAACTAATGAAAGATCCGACCGTTAGTTTATTCGAAACATTTATCACGATTCCCTACAATTGCCACCATTCATCATGTTCATTTCATTTCAAAGTTTAATATATTTTTCAAAAATTCAGAGAGTAATAGTCCGGTTTGCTTCCTCCTCCTCTCTGTCGGTTCCCTATATGAGTTATATACTTCAAAGTGAGTATCTATCCATAGGTAATCGATACATTTATTTCAGTATCGCAATAAAAAATATAGGAGTATGTAGGTACTCGATACTTTTCAGAGCTGTATTGCGATAAAAGGTACAATTGTATCTAATACTAAAATGTATATTTAATTACCTTAAAGTACTTAAATCGAAGATAATAAACCCGTAAACATCGAACAAACAATAAACCGAAACATCTCGGTTTGAGGCAGTAATGAATTTGCAATTATAAAATGCAAAACTCACTCGCAACCGAATATTTTGTGCATTTTGTTTTTGAAATAGGTACCTTTTGCTATAAACTGCCATAACTACAGCCACAGTTTGGTCAAGTGTAAACCAAGCGCCATTTAGCGTAAAAAACCACAAGTTTTATGTAAACATAAATAAATTGCCAATTACTATAATCGTATATTATAGAATCTTTAACTATATTGGGATTATTGCTTGGAGTAATGCCAATAACAAAACCTTCATCTTCTTCACATGATACAAAATAATATTCTAAGGATCGTTTTGAATAAAAACAATTTATTTTATGTCAACGATCTTTATTCAGAATTTAAAAAAAAAAAACTTTTTTTATAAAATAGCTGTCATATTCATGGTCAAAAATAACTTAACGAAAACAACAAACTACACATTTGACTCGAAATATGAAATCAATAATATTATCATTCCCAGAATGTTAAAAACTATCTCCCAATCGTATTCGTCGTACACATTTCTAAGACCATCTATACACAATAAACTTCCACAAGTGCTACTTGGTGAAAAACTTAACATTTTTAAACTAAAATTACAAAATTGGCTTACCTATGCAACAAACTAGATACTTAATAAAAATACTTTCTTAATATGTCACAATTTTATTCTGTACTTACATTAATAATTGCTTTCCCTTATGTATTTTCTCATATGTTTTTTTATTTCTATTGTTTTTCATTTTTTATATTCTCTAATACGAGTACTTTTATCATTATGTCTGTGATTAACTAACTTAAAGAAAAAAAAAAAAAAATTGTAAAACAAATCCTCACAAGTATGATTAGCAGGGCCCATCATTCTTTAAAATAAACGTTAATTATAATAATAATATTCAAATTAAAAATCGTTAAAACCGACTGTTCGTGTACGGGCCACAATTTGAATCGTCTTAAAATTATGTTTTATTATTTCGTGCAATGGCAGTTTATGTCATATTGTTAGCATATTGCACACGTGCAATAATTACTTGCAGAAATTATGATTATTATTTGTACGTTTAAATCGTAGAAAATTGTAATTTCACTATAATAATCACTTTATATTTTCACCGTACACCTACGCTATACGATGTATGGTTATAATATTACAATTGAAATTAATTAATTTTCTTTCTTCAATAAAACATAAACGAAATAATAGTACCTAATTATTATACATTCGATTAATTATCATTATTTTCTGCACAGGCGCATATAAATAATAATATTGTCTCGCGCGTGACGCGTTTTACAACAAAAATTATTTTATTTTATTTTATCATACTCGTGCGAGCAAACACACTGTGCTTACCTACCTGTGTAACTGCTGCGGATATCACAAAAATGATCAAATAACGTAGAATATTAATTTCGAATTTCAAACGATAATAATATTAACATTAACATAAAATTATTCAACGCGGATGTTCGGTTGATAAATTCGTTGTTCGCACACATATTTCGAAGTTAACGTACCTGTCAGCTACCAAACCTACGCTACCAAACAACATATATATGCAAACTTAGGATACAAATACAATATACGTTTATATTTACTATGTATATATACATACGTACTTGGCATATAGTATATACATAGATACATACATACATACATACATACATACGCATGCGAACACACACACAAAAGCATTTTCATATATACAGAATTTTTTACGCTGCACGTTTTTATTATATTAATATAAATAAATAAATGGATGCAAGCGGAATTTCGATTAGGTAATTTTTCGATGTTTTCAGTTTTCGAGTTATTGAATATTGCAAAACGCCGACACGAAAATAACGGTACATACTATACTACAGATGTTCCTAAACTTTTCACGGTACGGCTCATTTCGGATTTCTTTTTTTTTAAATTTGGTGAACCACGACAATGACTTTTTTTTTCCAGATTCTGATTGGAGCAAAGAATGCAATTGGTTTTACTATGGCATGGGCTATATTTTTTTTCCGTCTTTAAACCACTTTTTTACCAGATATTTTGGTTCTATCAAAAAATATCGAGAAATATTTTTTTTACATTTTGAATTTAATTTGTGCACTGAGAAATATATTTTTTGATATTTCAAGTGGTTTTCATAATAAATGGGGGGAAGAAAAACGTATTGGACAAATATGTATGGCACGTCGGAGCGTTACACCAGCTTCATTGTTTCAAATCTTTTCGATTTTTGTTTTCTACCAGAAATATTGCTTCAGATTTCAAGAGTAACATTTATTTTAATGACGGGGTTGTCTTGTTATTATTATATAAATAAATGAGTTTGACAAAATAAAAATTCTTGAACATTTAATGCGAGATTCAATATGAACTGTACTAAATGATAAAAAAAAAAATAAATTGAACATAATTTAGTGGTATTTTTTATGAACATTTTAAGATTGAATTCCTGTATTTCAAACACGTATTACCGAACTTAGCTCAGAATCATTTTTCATTAGCAATCGTACATCAGCAAGTACATCGGTACATTCGCATGGACAGGTATAAATTTAAATAACTTTATGTATTCTACTTTCTCGACTTCTTACATACAACCGTGGGACATGCATCCCCCGTATCTTGGATCTCCAATATCATCAAGTTTATCGTTGGTACAGATATACATTTTGTTTGATTTATGAATATTAAATTAATCAAATGTATCAATAAACACAATTTAAATATGTATAAAGAGGAATCAAATAAGATTTATTTTTTAAACGCAAAATAAACGTCATTAAAAACGAATATCAAACGGCAAAACAAAATTATTATAAAGAAAAGTAAATAATTTATAAATATGTTTTTCTAAAATATACTTTTAATAATACGTCCTATGCGAAATGTTTCCAACCTACAACAGTGGCACACCCAACGTCAGCTCTTTTTAATTTCATATATATTTTAATAGTATGCACATATTTTAGACTCTGAATTGAACGAATAAGCATATAGTTTTACAATGATGTTTATTATTATTCTTATGATAATATTTTTTTTGTTGTATACTTTTTGTTCCTTTTAATATCTATCCAGTGGACAAAGAAATTCATTTTTTGATATTTTAAGTAGTTTTTATAATATTTGAGAAAAACTAAAAAAGACGAAAATACTTACCAACTTCCCAACTACAACAGTGACGGCCCCCTATCTTTAATATCAACTCTTTTTTTGCTTTTTTTATGAGAACTGTTTATTACAAATTTAATAAAATATGTTTCCTAATTTAATTTTCAAGTAAAAATTTAAGCTCGTACTTACAATGTAGGTCCTACATATTATATAAAATATAAAATTGAACGGAAAACCCTGGCCGGGCTACGTTTCATAATTTAAATGATAGGCACGGCATCAGAATTTTTTCCTGGAGGGGCAGGCAAGGGAAAGTATATTATTTGGAGGGCAAGCACAACAATTTTACTTTTCAATAAAAAAAAAAACAATCAAATTAATTATATATCTGTGAACACTGTATTAATAACACATAACACAAGAATGCATCAGTACCCAATTTTTAAAAATTAAAATTAAATTTATTGTAACATTTTAAATCAGGATTACTCTTCGGTTGTGATGTGTATCAGCAAATTTTCCTACTAAAATTCCTATATTTAAACTTTTGAAAAGGTTTTGTTTTTTTTTTCAATTGAAAGGACTTTTATACTTAATAGTCTTGTGTTAATCATTTTATTTCTCAATAAGTTTTAATTTGTAGAAAGGCCAGTAAAAGTTCTATCCACTTTGGTACTTTAAGGAGATATGATAATTGCTATAGTACAAAATAAAAA